CATTAGCGAGCTCTCCAGGGGTCGGGTAGGCAACGGAGAAATCCGCTGAGCCAAACTGCTCCCCCCAACAGGAAACGGTGTGCTGTGGGAGAGTGGTTTATTTATGTTTCGGTGGTGTTTTCTTAATGGTGCTGTTGGTTTTTTAAATTCAAGTGTGAAGGATGAGAAGGCTGGGTGCCTGATTGTTAACATTAACATGGGCTTTTCTTTTTAAAGCTTGACTGAAGTTGGAAACGCTGATTTATCAACAGTGCGTAGAGGAGTCTCTCTCCTGCTCCTGTAACCCCAGCGCTCTGGGAAGTAGAGGGAAGAGGGTCACAAGCTAGAGTCCAGGCTTTTTTTTTTTTTTTTTTTTTTTTTTTTTTTCCGGGAACCAGGGATTGAACGCAGGCCCTTGAGCTTGCCAGGCAAGTACTTCAGAGTCCAAGCTGAGCGACTTAGTGACTTGGCAAGATGCTGCTGGCTCATGACAGAAGGGGCAGAGGTGTAGCTGAGCGCAGAGGCCCTAGGTTTCACCCCCAGCAATGCGCATGCACGCACATGTGTGTGCAACACAGAGAGAGAGAGAGAGAGAGAGAGAGAGAGAGAGAGAGAGAGAGAGAGAGAGAGATTGAGAGAGAGACCTAGCCCTCCTGTGGCTCAGGCTTTGGAGCTGCTTAAGATGTCCATTAGATGATGCTGCTGAATCCAGCTACGGAGAGGTATTTTCTAGCATCGGTCCCTCTTCCTGTAAGGTGCCCCATCCTTGTGAACCTCACTAGCTGCCTTTGGATACAGTGAAAATGACACACAAGCCACAGTCTTCACGGGTTGCATGTGATCTTGCTTGGATCCATCCACACCTGCTCTCAGGGCAAACTTTTCCTCCCTCCAGGCTTTGCTCAAGGGACCAGCAGGATGGACCCCAGCCCCTGACCCATGGGCTCACTGCTCCCCTCCTCTTCCCAGTAAGTTCCTGGGGTGCAACAGAGATACTCTGAGAAAGTGATAATCCCTGAGTGTCAATCTGGCTTCAGGATCTCTAGGAAGCCAAACCAATCCTGAGCCCCCTTTCCAAGTGGGTCAGAGTCTGAAACAGGAGCATGTAAGAGGCTCAAGGATGCTGTGTATTGGTGTCCCCTGGGGTAGAGATGGGCTTAGAGCCTGGGTGAAGCCCTGTGGAAGGATGGCCTTTGCAGCCCCGATCCTTTGAACAGAAACACAAGGCTGTCTTCTGTTCCTAAATCACTGTTACAAAAATGGGAGTCAAACACGTGCCAGGGACCTAGAGGCTCCCTAACAGACAGCGGAGGGGTGAAGACTCTTCTCCTGCCCTCATAGGACTCTTCTCCCCTGCTTTATATGAAGTCAGATTTATTGGCGTGCAATTTACATGCAGTCAGTTCGCTCCTCTCAGCATAGTTCTGTGATGTTTGATAAACACATAAATCACAGAGCCGTCATGGCAATGGAGATATCAGAGGCCTCTGTGCATCCCGCTTCTCCCCTCTGTCCTGTTCCCCTCTGGCTTAGCTATCTTTACCTCTCCTGGAAAGGGGTTCTTCTGATCCTTCTTCTGGGTGGCTGCGTTCAGGGAGCGCCCACATCTCCACTGTGCGTAGTTCATTCTGCTACTGAGTGGTGCCGCTGTTTCGTCTTCTCTTTCCTTGGTGGGGGTTCCAGCTTGGGGCAGCAGTGAACAAAGCTGAGTTCTGAGAGTGCCAGTGGTGCCCTCTTGTAGATGAAAAGGCACAGCTTCTCCCGTAGGCCCTCTTTTATCCAAAGTCACACTGCAAATGCACAAATGCACAGTGTATCTGCTGGGTTGGAGCCAAGAGTGGATCCCTCAGGAAGATGGTGCATGAAGGAGAGAGAGAGGGAGAGAGACAGAGCTGAACCCAGGGCTCCTGGAGTGAAGACAGTCAAGTCACGTGCTGATTGAGAAACTCATCACTCTTGAGAAATTGCTCACTTTTGATGGATAAGGCTGAGAACTCCTTTATGTCCCCTGTTCAGAGCCCTGTGCCTGCCAGAAAGATGTGCAAGGGCAGATCCAGAAGAAACTCCTTGAGGCACCTTCCCAAGTGACAGCCCACCAGCTCCCCTTTCTACGTGCAAGGTATTCCAGCCCTTCAGACCCTCTATTCCAGGTTGGTCTCTCTTTAGGTCCTGCCCTTAGGGAACTTGCTGGTCCTTAGCCCCTGCACGGAGAAGGGACAAAGCCACAGAAAATACAAACTCCAAAGGGACCATACATGGTCCTCCCGCCAAGCATCACCCTCAGGCCCCTGTGGGAATGGCTCTCCTCCTGTTCACCAAGTTGGAGTACAGTAGACAGCACCTGTCTGGCCTGTGCCTGTGCAAGGCCCTGAATTCCATCTCAGCACAGAAAAAGAATTCCCAGAACACAGTAGACATCCTCTGGACAGAAAAGGAGTGGGCAGCTGGCCAAGCTCCAAGTGCCACTTTCTTCCTTCTGTGGTTGTAAAAAAAAAAAAAAAATCAATCTGTGGTGCCTGGGATAGAGTTCAGTGGCACAAGCACCTGCCTGGCAAGTACAAGGTCCTGAGTTCGATTCCTGGTACCAGAAGAAGAAAAAAGAGAAAGAAAAGAGGAGAGAAAAGAGGGGAGAGGGGAGAAGGGAGAGGGAAGGGAGGAGAGGGGAGGAGAAGGACAAGGGGAGAGAGAGTGGGAGAGGGGAGGAGAGGGGAGGGAGAGGGGGAGAAGGGAGGGAGGAAGGGAGGAGGAGGAGGGAGGAGGGAGAGAGAGAGAGAGAGAGAGAGAGAGAGAGAGAGAGAGAGAGAGAGAGAGATTCGTTCCCAAGAAGACTTGTTCCAAGCTGGAGTGAGGGTGAGGAAGCTGCAACTCTCAGGCACCAGCTGCAACTCCATGGGTGAGGACCATCACCTGAGGCTGCAGGCTGCTTCCTGGAGTGGGTCCTCGGCAGCCTGCGCAGCAGGATCTCTACCCCAGGTGCAATGGGACCTGGGTTTCCTGCTTCAAGGAACTGTTTTCGCACTTGGGCTTCGCCTTGCTTGACACTTTCCTGTCTGTCGCTGGGCTGAGCTGTGCCCGGGCTTGGCGCCTGCCTGGGCGGCTTCCCCAGCTCCGGGTCACTTAGGGCTCCTTCTCATGGCAAAGGGTGCGGGCCTGTGCGGAAGCGAAGGAGCCGGCTCTGGGGACACCAGTCTGTGGAGGCGAGGGCAGGCGTCCCCTCCCCTCCCTTATCTCTACCCCCCTCCTGGGCAAGGGGAGCCCTGGCTGCCCCCTGACCTGTCCCAGTCATCCCCTTTCCTCCTACCCCACCACCCGGAGGGACCCTTTCCCGCTTGCTTTTCCTGCCTGTGGTTCCCAGTCTCCCCCACCTCTGAGTCTCCGCAGCCGATCCTCACGGGCTCCTCATCCCTCCCTGGCGGTTCTTCTCCGTCTCCTCTCTGCCTCCTCTCTGCTCTGACACTCCAGCCCCTGCTTTTCTTTCTTTCTTTCTTTTTCTTTTCTTTTCTTTCACGCTTTCGTCCTCCTTTCGCTGCAACATGTTTGGCCATTTCATACTGTATATTTCACTCATCTATTATCTGATTTTCTTTTTCTTTTTTCTTTAGGAGATTAAGCAGAAAATTTTATTGGAGAAGAGGAATGGGTAATAGCAGTAGCTCCCAAGAGACAGGAGGGGTCCCGAAGAAATGGGTTGGTCAATCTGGCTTCCTTTCAAGGAGCAGACAGAACTTAGCCGAGTACCAGCACTAGGAGCATAGTGCTCAGGAAACACAGAATGATCTGATGGGTGGGTGGGTCCTCCCCTCTCTTCAACTTTCCTGTGGCCCCTGACACCCCAGTTTCCTTAAGGAGGGAGAACATTTCATTCTCCATGTTTTGTTTTTGTGGTGTTTTTTTTTTTTTTGGTGGAACCAGGGATTGAACTCAGGTCCCTGTGCTTGCCAGGGAAGCTCTTATTCCACTGAGCCATCTCCTCGGCCCCTCACAACAAACCTTTTTTGAACACTTGTAATGGTTGCTGGCCTCATGGAGCTTACTACCTTCCCGAGTGTGTGGGAGTTCCGGTGTGGACAAGCCACAAATAAACAAATCTGTAGCTCTAAGGCACAAACGGCCCATGAATAAAGCAGCTGAGCATTTTGTGTAATCCTCAAGCCCTAACCTTGCTCTTGCTACAGTCCCAGTGCCAACAAACATGGTTGCCGCTTCAACAGCCAGACCCCGGGAGGCCGAGGCAGGAGGATCACAAATTCACCCCAGCCCTGGCAACATAAGGGTTTAAAGACACTATCTCTCAAAATTAAAAACAAAAATGAACATTGAAAAGACTTGGGTGTATCTCAGTGCAAAGGCCTTGGGTTTGAGCTCCAGTACCCCCCAAACAAACAATGGGGGGGCGGGGAGATGGCTCAGTGCAATAAGCGCTTCCCTGGCAAGTGCAAGGGCCTGAGTTCAATCCCCAGTTCCGTCAAAAAAAAAAGAAAAAAAGAAAAAAAAAACAACGGGGGGGGGGGAAGACCCACAAATGAGAGAATTGGGACCCACAAGAGGGCAGCTTTGGTCCCCAAAAAATATGGTCCCTAAGAGGGGACTAGGAACAGAGGCTGGAGCACTGGTGCCAGCTACTTCCTCCTGCAGCTGCTCCTACGATCTCAGACAGTTGAGGAGGGGGGAATACTCCCTCTGAGAGCAGGAAGCATGCACCCCAGAGCTGGGAGCTGGAAGTCACAACCTGCGGCAGTGGAGTCCATGCTGGCTGGCCCCGAAGCGCTGTCAGGGTTTCTGTTCTGGCGGGGCTGTCCCCTCTGGTCCGGAGAGTGCGCTCCCCACTGGTGCCCTTCCAAACCTGTGTCCCGAGACTACTACATTTTGCTTTTCTCTTAGTTGATGAGATGCAGACTGTTTTACGTTAATTTTAATCTTGAAATGTCAGATGGGCTCACTAAAAGAGATCTAGAGATTTTTTAAAAAGTAAAAAGATGATTACAAAAAGTATTTCCTAGTAGAAAGCAGAGCAAAGTAAAATGGAGACCTACTGCCCAGTACCGGCTTTGCTGGGCAAGCTTCCTGCTGTCACCTATCTGGAGTTCTGTGGGTCATATGGTGAGGCCAGTAACCCTTTCTGTCCTTCCTTCTAGCCTAGCAATGCTGTTTTCTAAAGAAAAATGAAATTTGAAAGTGACTTGAAATCTAGACGTTACTGTAAAACATGCAGGGATGAGCCACCAACTGGGTCCCCAGGTGAAAGACGGCAGCTTTGCACTGTCCGCTGTGTAACACCCAACAGCACTTTTACGGCGAGACCATTGAAATGCACTGTGTCTTCCTTCTCTGTCTATTGGGAAGACGCTGAAGAGTAAACCCGGGGTACGGAGCTTGGTTCCTGATAGGAGACTGAGCCACTTGTCCCATCCCTGCCCTCAGGAATTCCAAGTGTTCAGGCAAGGGCCCCCCAAAGAAAAGAAAGAGAGGTCTACTTGGCTCTGCACTTCGATTTGATCTGTTCTCGTTTTCTGCATTAGCAGGGTCTGGCCTGACTGTGCTTGGCTACCCTTGGCCCCAGGGTTTATGCAGGGGTCTTAACTGTACCACCGGCTGTCACAGAGGGGTCTTCTGGCCCAGGGCACTAAGGCCAGCCCAGGGTTTGAATGCTGGGTGGACTAAACACAGTGGTGTGCGTTCCTTGCGGGTCTCTCTGCATTTGACCTGGAGATGGCGCAGCTCTGCAAAGGCGCATTTCCACCCGGGAGGAATCAGTTAGCCTCTGTGGCTCCCCAGCTTGTTTCTGTAGGATTTTCTTATTTCCATCAAAACGGGGAGATCTTGGTTGGGGAACACACAGGTTTTATTTGTTTTTTAAATTTTTCTCTGGATGCGGGGACTTAGAGGTTTGTTTCTGCTGGGCGCTGGGGCCTCCACCCCAGGACCTGAGATTGTGGCCCCCAACACTGCACGATATTTGTAACAACCCTGTGTGGGTCTCACCTGGAACACACTAGAACCCTGACACTGGGAGACCTTTGCTGGTCTCACCTGGACATGTGGCATCCGTTGTGCTTTAATTTAGTTTTTTGAGGAATGTGGATGTCCATGCTTCCCTCGCGTTTAACCTACAAGTTTGCCTCTACCTCGGCACAGACCTGCTCAAGCACCAGAAGCCTTTATGAAATGGAAATTCGATGTATTTCTGCATCCGTGGGAGACTCTTTAGAATTCCTTGTCAGAAGTCTCACTACTTGTTGTGGGGCCCTTAGATGACAGCACTTAGTAAAAAGAAGTAAAAGAAAAAAGAGGCTGAGGATGCCCACATTGCTAAATCCTCTCCACAGACCATGGGAAAGGAAAGTGGGAAGAGGGTGTGAGAGGGCCTGGGCCAACATCCCCAAGCCAGCCCAGGGACACCTTCCTTAAAATAGTCTGGCTTCTGAACCTCTGACACCCACCCCCACGCCCAGCGGCCTCCTGGGCAAGGGCAAAGCCTGGGAACCCAGAGAGGCAGCTGAGGACTCCTCCAGCCCGGCCAGCCCAGTGAGGCCTTGAAATGCTCTCTGCTCCGGGCAACGCTGCGGTCGAGCTGGCTCCCCTCCTCCAAGAAGGAGGGAGACAGAGAGGGAGGGTGGCCAAGAGAGATGGAGGGAAAACAAAACACCCCGAAAGAGCAGACGCTGGCCAGCCACCTCCGGTCCGTCCTTGAGGGAGGCCTTGAGAGACATGTGGGGCACTGGGCCCGCAGCGAAAGCGCCAAGAAACCCGCAAGTGTCTCTGTTGCACTTTCAGAGTCGGAGAACCTTTATGGACTCAGTTTCCAGCCCAAGAGGAGAATATCAGCGGGTGCTGTGGCCAGAGAACTCAGCCAGGGGCCTGAAGCAGGGAATCAGGTCAGAAGCTAAGCCAGCCCTGGGACACCCTGCAGCCATGCAGAAAAAGCCAGTTGCCACTCTCCACTCCTGTGCAAAGGGTCGTGATGTGCAGGTGCCCGTGCAGATGGTGACGCCAGACGCCCAACTGGAGGACCCTACTTGGCCTCGGCCACAGGGAGGGCTTTCCTCTCCGGCACACTAAGTCCCAAGTCCCTGGCTTGTTGCTGAGAACAGGCACTGTTTAGTTCCCAGGTTTGGCCCTGTTGGTCCTCTAAAGGTCTAGCGCTAGGGAAGGCAGAGCTGGGATCTGGGTTTTCTGAAGCCCCAAGCAGCGGCGGGAAGAGCAGGCTGGGGCAGGCCGCTTCTGCCCAGGCCCAAACTCTCCATTCAGCGGAGAGCCCTCACCGCCCTCCACTGGCCTTCGGCTTTGTGTCTCTCGCCCTTCCCGAAGTGGACGAGGGCCTGACTCAAAAGCAGCAGGCAGACCACAGCGCACGGCCTCCGGAGCCCCTGGGACGGCCTCCCCGTTACCAGGCCTCGGTCCCGGCGCCCAACTCCACACTGGCTGTGTGGCTGGTGGACTGAGGGCCCCGCTGGCGAGCGCGTCCGGGGTGGCATCAGAGCGTCCCATGGAGCAGCCCCGCGCCCCGGACACCTCAGTTTCCTCTCCTCTTTGGGGCCACTCCCGACTCCACAATCCTGGTTGAGGGGAGAGAATTCCCCGCACCGTCGCGCTCAGTTCTTCCTCTGGGATTTTCCTGAGAATCCCCAGGAGCTGGCCACGATCCCACGTGTAGGGGGGTGCTTCCTTCCAATCAGCCCCGGGCCTGGTCTGGTCCCCGGCGCCCAAGGTCCCTCCCACGGCCAGGGAGCGCACAGCCGATTCTCCTCTGCTGCAGCGGGTATCATCCTGGGCTGGTCCGAGCAACGTGGATCTCCTTTAGAGTCGCAGCCCAGCCCCCTCTAGATCCCTCTGATCTAGTGTGAGCAACCTAGGCAGCGGAGGCAAAAGCAGCAGCTAAAAAAAAAAAAAAAAATCAAGCGTAACCGAAAGCGTGAGAGCCGCAGGGCGGGCGACTGTTATCTGGGGCTGAAGGCTGCGGTAATCGATGGGTTATTTTTACGCGGTAATAGGGCCCTGTGATTGCTCTATTAACCTTTAGACCTGGCTGAGGGACTCTCCGCGCACGGCCCGCTCGCCTGAGCCTGCGGCGCCCGCGTCCGCCCCGGCCCCCGCCCCAGCCCGGGTCCCACGCCCGCCCCGCCCCCACCGGGCGACGGCGCCTCCGCGCCTTGCAGGTCCGAGCGCCGCTGCGGGGAAGGCGGCGAGGCTACAGGGCGGAGGCCCGGGAGACGGGAGCGTCTCGGGGAAGCTGCACGAGAGTTTTGCATAAATACACAGAACCCAGGGCCGGCGCTGGGGTTCTCGGCGCCTTGCTGTCTCCTGGGGCCGCCGGGAAGGCAAAAGGGAGGCTTTGCCTTCCACGCTATCACTTCAGGGCCAAAGCCGGGATCTGAAGAGCCCTCAGCCTCCGCGGGGTCCAGGGCAGGGAAGATCCCCAAGACTCCGGCCTGGACACCCTCAGCCAACCTGGAACCCGGGCGGCCTGTGTCCCGAAGGGTCACCTTCCTCGCCACGAGCCAAGCCCTGCGCCCACCACTGGCCCAGAATCCCTGGGGTGGAGAGACTGGAAGGGAGAAGACCCCGGCAGAGCCGCCAGCGGGTTCGCCCTCGGGCCGGGAGGTGGGCGCAGCCGCGCCTGGCGGTGGCACCTCGGCGTTTGGCGAGGCGATCTCGCGCCTGGACTTTGCCTGAAGGGGCGCTTCTGCAAAGCCGTGGTCCTGCGCCCCGAGGAGCAGCTGGCCGCGCCCCGCCCCGCCCGGCACGTGACTTCCCGGACCAATCGGCGCCTGCGGGCCGCGAGCAGGGCCCAGCTCTGGCCCCGGGCTGTGGACTCGCGGGCGCTCGGCGCAGTGGCCGCCAGAGGCTCCGCCGCCCCGCAGCTCCCGGAGCGCCCAGGGGCACCCGCCCGCCCGCTTTCCTGGAAGCTCCTGGCCCAGGTAGGGCTTCCCCCTCTCCCTCCGGGTCCCGTCCGCCGGGGGTGGCACTTGGAGCAACTCCGTCCGCGCGCGATCGCCTGAAAGGGGTGAGGTGGCCACTGAGTGGAAGACCTTGGTCACTCCCCTCGGCTCAAATTGGCCAAAGGCCGCCCCGCTTTTGACTTTGCATAGCTACCGCTTGTGATCTTAGGGTGATTGGGACCCAGCGCACAGGGGTCCGCGAAGAGCGCTTGGATTCTTTTCGCGTGAACTTGAACGCTTAATCCTCCGGGGTGCGCACAGTTTCCAGCCCTTGTTTGCGCTCCGAGGCGGGGGCCTGGGTGGCGACGGTGGCTCTGGGAAATCAACCTGACCGGCTGACCCGACGCAGGCCGCGAGTAGCCCAGGGAACAGGGACGTGGAGGAAAGTGTGTGAGCCACGGGGGACTCGGGGACGCCAAGGGTCGGTGGAGGCCAGTGGTTCGGAGGGCTGGAAGCGGCGAAGGCCTGGCCTTACCCCCCTGCGGCCAGCCTCACCTCTGGACGGGTCCCAGGAGCCGAGGCAAGGCTACCGCGCCCAGCTACCGCAGCCCTGCGCCTGCTCGCGGGTGGCACTGGCGGAGGCCGGAGCGCAGGCAGCCACGGCTCCCTTCCCGACCCAGGACCCTGCATGGTTCGGCCTGGGCCTGAGGGGGAGAGCGAGGGTTGGCTGGGAGGCGAACCGCCACCAGACTGGGGGAAGAGGGCCTCTGGGTCGGGTCGGAGGACGGAGGTAGGCAGAAGCCTGGCCCGCGCCGCCGCAGAGTTGGGCAGGCACCTTGGAGTTGTTTCCTGTGCTTTTAGAATACCCCCGGCCAGGTTTCGATTTTTATAGAAGGAAAAGTTTCAGTGGGGTGACTCGGTGATACCCCCACCGATTTCGTCTGCTTTTCCTCTTCGCTGGCTAGGGAGTGAGTTCGCGGGTGACAGGTTTCTCGCGCGGCAGGCCGAGCGCGATGGTGTGAGCAAGGTAGAAAGAGAAGGAATCATGTGTGAAGGGTCGCGATCCTTAGGCGCTTTCAATTCTCCCACTCTTAAACGTAGATGGAAAGAGCACTGTTGGTGAATTCGAGAAAGCAGAAGGTATCTGGTTTGGGCCTGCGGACTCGGGGTGAACTGGGGTGAGCGATCAGGAGAAGAAAACGCGGGTGTAGCTGGCCTGGCTTGCACCGGGCTGGGCGCCGCTAGACTCCCTCTGCTGCAGGCCAGCCGAGGCTGATTACTGATGCAAGCTGCAAAAGGTGTAGAGGGGTATTTTCTTCACCTTCTATTGTTCTAGTAATCCAACTTGGAGGTAAAGTATCAGCCATTTGAAAAGGCAGGGAATGTACTAAACTCAAGTGTTAGGTCTGTAACATTTTCAGCGTTTACATTTAAAAACTCCAAGTTAGCTCCTGTAGGTATCCTGGGAGTTAAATCTCCCCTTTTCCTCAGTTTTGGGAGAAAAGAAAATGTTACAGAGTTATCTTTTTAAACTGCAAGAATTAAGTATTGTAAATGATACAATGAAATAAATCAATTACTTGATTTTAAAATTTAATACTGGATATTTTAGTAAGGTAGGCCTACATATTTATTTATTTATTGAAGCCCAAAGATTAGTAGGAGCTAATTTTTTGGCCTTCATTTTCAAAGAGAAAAGTTGGTGACCTCAGGTCAAATTTTTCTGTATTTGTTCTCTAACCAAACTTGCTGGAAGAAAATACCACCAAATCAAGTTTATTGTATATTTTAAAAGCAAATAAATAATTACCATGTGTCTATTACAATAGCATTAATTCCATTATTATTACTAGAACTATTGCAAATACATATATATGAAGAATCCCATTTCCAGAACTTTTACAGTAGTAAAGGTGTTCGTTGATTGTGGTACATACCAGGTCTCAGCTATTTTCTTCCTTGTGCCTGTTACCACCACCATGTAGGGCCTCATTGTGCATGCAGCCACGTATTTATAATCCTTTCTCCTAGTTCTCATAATGACAATGACACAGGTTCCTTTAATATTTACACTCCTTAGTGGAAGAAACTGAGCATAGGTTAAATGGTTGGTATCAAGGTATTCATGCAGTGAGTGGCAGGGCCTGGGTTTAGTACATGGCTCTGCTATTATTCTTGCAATGTTCCTCTTGCAATAAAAAAAGAAAACACTGTCAGGAGCAGCTGCCTCTTCAGGAAGAGAAAAGGTGTGGGGAAGTGGACAACTTCAAGCTCTGGAGCCCTCCGGATGCCACCCCCACCCTCTGATTGTACTTTGATCTTAGTTGAGTTTCAAAACTTTCCAAGGAAGGCTTCAGTTCCCTCTTTCGTAAAGTGAGGAAAGACAACTTTACTCAGTGGGTTTGTAAAGAAAAGACCTGAGGCACTGGCAGGTATGTTACAGTAGAGCTCTTGCTTTTCAGAAAAATTCCTGGGTTGTTGCAAGCACGGGCTGCTGGGACATACACAGCCAAGTCCTAGGAACTGTCCTTTCCCCAGGCAGTTGACCTCGTGCTGATTCTGTGTGTGGTGGACCTGCAGCTCCACAGGGGAAAACCTGCTGGTGAATTAGAATGGCTCAGGGAGTTCTGTCGAGTGACCTTGTCCACATTCCGCCTTGGTTGCTGGTCCCCATGCATAATCTGTACAATGTCTAAAATATATCTATTCAGGACCAACATGTAGTTTGTCTCATTTGACACCCATACGGTACAGACTATGGAGAATGGGTCTGTCCGTCCATTTTAGGAGATTTAGCAGATTGCTGCTCATGCATAAACATTTAGACTTTACCTCAGCTTTGTAAAAATAGATTACAAACAAAACTTTCTTAGGTTGCTGGTTTTTATAAAGTTTGTCGTCGACACCCCCCCCCCCATCCAAAGTTCTTTCCTGGCCAGGAATGTTTGGGGAGACGAGGGTAAAGAAAAACCACGAGATTTCTAAGGTCCCAGGCCTTGGCTGGAAACCTAAACCCTCAGATTTAGAAAATACTGTAGCAAAAAATATATTTGAAGAATAAGGTAAAATTAAAGTCCTTGTCGGTGAGCAATAGACAAATAGCTGACCTAGACAGACCACAAGCAATATGTGCAGGCCCCAGTGCCCGGACCCCAAGTCCCCAGGGCGCCCTCCCCAAGGCAGCCTGACCCCGCTGCCGGGGCAAAACAAAGGCTGCAGCTTCCCGAGGAAACGCGCGGCCTCGGAGCTGGGCCCGAGGCGGCGATTTCGTTTGCAGGGCGGCGGGCCGAAGCGCCCCGGCCTGGGAAAGTGGTTCCGGAAAGCTCGGGGATAACCTCTCTCTCTCCGTCCCTCTTATTTCTCCTTCAGGAGCGCGGCTGCAGCGCCGGCAAGGAGCCGCCCGGCCCTCGGCGTTGGAGCCAGACCTGCAGGCCGCGTCCACGACGCGGTGACCCGGACGCCTGCGCTCGGCCACCTCGCTCCTGCGGCCGCCTGTGCATGCTCCGGATTTACGGCCCGGGGGAGGCGCCTTCCCGCGCCGCCGTCGGGAACCAGCAGACACTGGGATTTTCCCGCGTGAAGGACAGCCGGGTCTCTCGCTTGACGCTGGATTTAAGACTCACCCATTTTTGAGCGATCCAACCCTCCCACCTGGACTGGGACCTCCGTGCCGAGGCCGCCGCTCGCCCCCAGCCAGCCGCCCGCCCGCCCGCCCGCGGCGATGTACCAGAGCCTGGCCATGGCAGCCAACCACGGCCCCCCGCCCGGGGCCTACGAGGCGGGCGGCCCGGGCGCCTTCATGCACGGCCCGGGC